AAAAAGGGAGAAAAAATTTGGGGGGGGGGGGGGTGGAAGGCATAGTACGAGGAGGAGGTGAATTTCCCCACTTTTAATAGAGCCCCGGGGAGAGGGGGAAAAAACTAGGAAAAGAGACTGGAAGGTAAAGTTGGAGGTGGAAGAAGGGAAAGGGAAAGGGGCAAAGATTTGAGCAAAGTGGATTTTTTGGGTTTGAGTAGAGGGGGGGATTGGGATTAGGTGTCGACGAGGCTTTTCGTATGGGGCTTGTGGGGAAGGATCGAAGATGTGAGAAAGACTGATTGTTGTGGGATCAGGCCAAAGGGCAGCCCAAAAGGGTTAGTGCCATATTGGGTATGGGAGGGGTAACAAAGGGAGGCTGCGAAGTGGGGCCCCCAAAATGGGGGGGGTTTGGAAAAACGAGAATGAAAAGGGGTAATTTTCCCTTGGAGGCGGAGATGATAAAATGCCATAGCATAAGGGAGACCTTCTGCCTTTTAGCAACGTTTCACGTTCATTTTAAATGACCTGGGAACTGCGGGATAGAAGGGTGGCTTCTTACAATTAAGGGAAATGGAGTGACGCAAGATTATTAGAATGGTCGTCGGGCCCCCAAACTGGGCATTCGGCATAGTCTGAATATTTTGCTGGGGACCAAACGCCGCAATTTTTTAATTGTTTTCGGGGTAGGGATACCTATCGAAATTTTAACCATGTCCGGACATTCAGAACGGGAGTTCTCGGCTGTCAAAAATTAAAGAGCCCCCCCCCCATTCAAGGGTTTAAAGTCTCCACCCCCGGGGAGGAAGGACATAAGTGTTACTTTTTAAGTTGGGATCCCGGAGTTTCCCGCTTTCAAAAATTTTATTTCCCCTGATGGAAATTTGTTGGACTATGGTATGGGGCAGAATGCAGTACCCCTACAAGAATTTAGAAAAGAGTTTTTTCAATGGATAGGATGTATCGAATTCGAAAGGAGGAAAGATCAGAGCTTGGGTAGCATTTTTGGAAGTGACGATGCACGTACCCCCTCGAGAGCGTGAAATTAAATACTCTGCCAACAGAGCAGGACGCTTTGCCAATACTATGGTCAGAAAGGTGGGAGAAGAAGAAATTGGTCTTAAAATAAAAAATTTAGTCCATTTTGTGGTCCGAAACTGAGCTGGAGAGGGAGTCTTGACGTGCGGTCTTTTCCGAGTAGAATGGGAAAGGAAACGAAGGGGGTCATAGGAGATTAATTGGCGTTTAGGTAGGACCGGGGTTGGCCCGGCATGAAATGGGCAGGGGATTCGAAAAAGCCGTACTGTAGAGGGAGAAGCCGGAACATAGTCAAAGGAGAGGGAGTTCAGACAAATCGAAGGAGTCAGTCGAAGCCCCGGTACCGAAGCGGGTGGGAAACAGCACCAGCAAAGGGACGGGGCATCGGGGTGTCCAAGATGGGGTTTAAAAACAAGGCGGGTCAGAATGGGGTGCGGTATCAAGAAGGGCCGGGGGGAGGTTTCATGACTAGGGTGCCATGGTTAGGGTTTTTCCTTTGCTTTTTGTTTTTTTAAAAAAGAAAAAAAAAAAAGAAAAAAAGAAAAAAAAAAAAAAAAAAAAATAAAAAAAGGGGGGAGGGGGAGGAATAGTTCCCCGGAGGAATGAAAGGGCCGGAAATCTCCCCCCGGCCCCCAAAGGGTCAACACCGCTAGTAGCGAGATGCAGCATGGAACCCGTGCCTACCCCACCCTTCATGCAGTAAACCCGCAACCCCGGGAAGCAACCTCACTCTGCCGAGCCCCTCGGTGGCCCAAAGAGAGGGCGGCCGGATATCCGCCACAAAGCATAACCCCTTCAGCCACCCCCCCCCGGAAAATCCGAAAGGGGGCCCTTCCGGGAAAATACACCCTTTGCCCAAAAGACCCCCAAAGTATCCGGGATCCCGGGGAAGGAGGGATGGGGACATCCCCAGGCAATCCAGTTTCCCAAAGGGAAAAACTACCCCCACCGCCAAAAAAACCTCAGGGAAGGGGATGGCCCCGGTGCCCTTTTCCCCCCTACCTAGGAACTACGGGGCCTGTGGGAGAAACCCAAAAAGGGCCCAAAAAAGAGGAAGGGAAAAGGGGGGGGGAGGGGTGAGGAGGGGGAAAGGGGGAAAAAGGGGAGGATGGGGGGGAAAAGGGTTTTGGGGGGGGAAATGGGGGGAAATTTAAGGTTCGGCCCCTGGGGGAAGAAGACCGAAAAGGGCCTAATTCCTCAGCCCAAGAGCCTCTTCACCCGCCCGGGCCCCCCCCCCTTTTGAAGAGGCTCTGAAGAGGATGCCCCCCAAATTACTAAAGAAAAGTTTGTTCTCGACAAACTTTTAAAGGGGAAAAATCACCCCCATCCCTTAGAAAATTTTCCAGGCCCCAAGGGGCTCTGGGGTTTTGCTCAGCGTTCTTGCGGGGAAACTACTGCTGAAAATTTCGTGGAGGGAGGGGGAAATCTCCCAAACGCCCCAGAATCCCGGTAAACTAAAACCTACTCCCAAAGGTTCTCAAGGGAACGGGAAAGGGAAAACCTTTTTGCCCTCTCCCTGGTCCAGGAACGGGAAAGCCTGGGGAAGAATCCCCGAAAATAAAAAATTTAGGAAAGGGAAAGGGGAGGGGGGGGAGACGAGGAAGGGGGGGAGGGGGGGTGGTTAGGGGGGTATTTAGGTTCGATGGGAGGAAGACCAAAGGGGTTCGTTTCTCAGACCAAGACCCTTTTGTCACCACTGAAAGGCCCCTTGAAAGGTCCAAAGGGAAACAAAACATATTTTTCACATTACCCTCATACCTTGTTCATCTCACTCACGTTTAACAACATAATACTTGTACCCTTTATTATCAATTTAAAAACGTTAAATATTTCAAAACAATAAAAAATACACAACACACCACACAAACACACACACACACATATATAAATATAATAATATATATAATATATATATAAATATATAATATATATATTATATTATTAAAATTATAATATATATTTATTTTAATTTATATATAATATTATATATATAATATATGTAATGTCGTCCCGAATGGCAGAACTTGCGTTTTGGGCTTAAATTGCAACGCTCATCTGCCATATAGGACAATGAAAATTTGTGTATGCAATAATTTCCCCAAAAATCATTCTAAACCAAAAAAAAAAAAATATTTTCATGTGTTTGTTTAGTATTAAATTTTTTAAAAACAAATCTAAAAATTTTATTTGGGGGTTGGCTAAAATAATTTTTTCTTTTTATAATAAGGTTTAGGTAATTTTCTAAGATTTTTTTGGTGCAAAATTATAATTTTTTTACATAAAATTAATAAAAAAAATATATCTTTAAACGTATAAGAGAAAATGTCAAAAAGGCAAAATTTTAAATAGTTCTTGTAATTGACCATTTTTACATATTGGGCACACATTATATTTTAAAATTTTATATATATTTAATTATATATATTTTTATATATATATATAAATATATATATATATATATATATTATATATATTATAAAATATATATATATATATATATATATATAATATAAAATATTATATATATATATATTATATAAATAATTTTATATATATATAATTATTATAATATATAATATTATAAAATTTATTTTATAATTATATTATTTTATATAAATTTTTATTATATTTTTTTATAAATATTTTATATATATTTTTAAATATATAATTATATAATTATATATAAACATTAATATATATATAATAATATATTATTATATATTTTATAATAATATATATATAATATATATAATTATATATATATTTCATAAAATATATAAATATTATATATAAAATATATATATATATAATATATTTATATTAAAAATTTATATATAATATAATAAAATGTATATATAATTTTATAATATTATAAATTTATAATATATATAAAAAATTTATATTTAAATATAAATATATATTAAATAATATGTCGTGCCGAATATTAAAACTGGTCAATTAGCAAGAACTCTTTTTAAAATTAAGTTTTTTAAAAAAATTTTCTCTTTACTTTTAAAAGAATATATTTTTTCATTAATTTTGATGTAAAAATTTATAATTTTGCACCAAAAGGAAACTTAGAAAATTACCTAACCCTTTTTTAAAAAAGCGCAATTTTTTTTAGCCAACCCAACTAAATTATTTTTTGTTTTTTTTAAGTAATTTTTAAAACTAAAAAAACATGAAATATATTTTTTTCGCTAGGTTCAATGATTTTGGGGGAAAATTTTTGCATACAAAATTTTCGCTTGTCCTTATGGGAAGATGGCGTTGCTATTTAAGCCAAGATCGCAAGTTCTGCCTATTCGGCCACATATATAAATATATATATATATATAAAATAATATAATATATATTAATATATATATATATTCTACATAATATGTTTTATATAAAATAATATTAAATATACGGGGGGGTAGGAAAAATTCCAAAAGTTCATGGGGAACCTTAGTTTTCCCCGAAACAAATTTATTCTTTTTTTCTGAGGATGAGGTCCCCAGGACAGTTCTAGGGGGTACCTCCCTATTTAATAAATTTTTTATATAATAATATTATATATTAAATATAATTAATTTTATATATAATTTATGAAGAAATACTTTTTGAACCCTGGGACTTGAATAAATTTACGTATATTTGTTATATTCCCACAAAAAAGCACTCAAATAATTTTTCTCTAAGGATGTCAAGTAAGTTGTGGAGAATTATTATGCACCGGGGTGGGGAAACTCTATTGAACAATTAAAATACCCTTTTGTCGGTCAAAATACAAGAAGAGGCATCCCTCTGACTTCTCTGAGTATATATACACTGAGATGTTATTCCTCCCAGGGTATACTCACTGAGAGATGTCTCCTCTGGATGTCTCTTTACACTTAAGAATTAGATTCAGCCTTTAACTCTGGCATAACATAATTTAACCTGTGGTGAGGTACACATCGTCTACGACGCTGAAGATAGGAAGTACACACAAGCACACCTGACAAGCTAATATCATATTTAACACCTTACAACAGTTCATAACCCATTTTTAATACCAGTATAATACTTCTAAGAATAACCATACTGTAGTTGTCTAATAGTTGATTAAAACTGATTAAACGCTCTCGACTAAACTAGTCAGCTTAACAATGCATTTCTAAAATCACAGTTTTTTAACCCTGGAGTGTTTGGGTCAGTAGACCTACTGTAGTATGGGTCAGTAAGCCTACTGTAGTTTGGGTCAGTAGGCCTACTGTAGTATGGGTCGGTAGGCCTACTGTAGTATGGGTCAGTAGGCCTACTGTAGTGTGAATCAGTAGGCCTACTGTAGTGCTTCTGGATTTCTTCATTTTTTCCCAGCAATAATTTGATCTACTATGAACCAGTATATTTACTGCAGGGCTCTTTTGTAAAAGGGGTCACTGGTTGCAACATTGCAACACTGCTGTGTAACATGTTACCGAATTCATAAAACAAGTAATTTACTCAGCGTGGAACTAACTGATCCTAACCCACACGCTAACTGCAGTTAATAATGTTGTTATTTGTCACGCAGGGCTAACTGATGGTAACTGGGTTGATTACAGCGATCGACGAACGTCCTATAGGTTCTGGGTTCGATTTCAGGGCAGGAAGAGACATGGGGTACACTCGCTGTCCCTCTTCACCTAACAATAAGATACCTGGGTGTTACTCAGGTGCTGTGGCTGGTGCCTGCTAAATGACTTCAAGATAATATAGCAGTAATCAGGAGAAATATATCAGTAGCTCAGAGTTGCACTCTGAGCTAACTGGATGTAAGAAAGAGCAACTTCAAGTTAACTGGATGTAACAGAGCATTAATTAGTATTAACACTTCTCTAACTGGGTTCTACATGTTCACTGTAACCGGTTGTTACTTGGTTTTAATTTGGTGTGGAATTTAAGCAGTTGTATGTGGTACTGCATTAACTAAGTGTAAGAAGTTATTAACTGGGTATAAAATGTAAACAGGATGTATTATGAGTGTCTGGGACATGACATTAACCGGATACAAATTGTATTTTTTTTAGTGACTTCATCGGTGTTACACGACATTGTTTTTTAATAAATATTAAAGGTAAATTGTTACTCATAATTTTGGACGAGAATAAACAAAATGTGTATCAGAAATTATTATCCATATGATATGTCCACACTTACTTCTTAAAGAAGGGAAATCAGAGATGGTGGGTAAGATGTACGGTAGGAAATTATAACCCATAAGTGAAACGACGGTGAGGATTAAGATACAAGATTGCATGTAGGGTTAGGTCAGCCGTGTAGCATTAGTTTTCTAAGGAGAAGAAAATATTTCATGAACGCGAGTCTTAGTAATATGGAGACTAGTTCAGTGGAGCTTCTGGTCTTTCCGCCCAGGTCTTCGACTGGCTTACTGGCCAACCCAAGAAAAAAGAAAATATCACATTATGCGATTTTGTGTGTGGGGGGGGGAGTGGGGAGGGGGGAGTGAGAGGGTTGATGAATATCACATGAATAGATGAAACTGAAGTGTATCATGACACTCATATAAATATCCAGGGTAGATGACTGAGACTGAGGTCCAACACTTGGGTATCTTAGTGTGGGCTACTGAATCACTCAGCCAGCCTGGATTGTAACTGATTAATAAACTAATAATCGCTGCTAATAGCGATGTTAGTTGAAACAGAGATTTATAATACTAGAAGTAGTAGTCCGTGACTTGTACACACTCCCATCCTCCGTCACACTCCCATCCGGCGCCACTTGTCACCTCTGACCTCTGAGTCTCCCAATTAATATTTGAGGCTCTGCTTTTCCCATATTTTCTCAATCATGTTTCTACCTTCACATTTTACAGTTTTCTTCATAATGTGTCTCATCCTCACCCAGGCATATCTTGAGTGCAATGAATTTCGTCTAAGTTGCATGCGAATGTTGTTTGATTATCCGTAAATCCAGTCGAGGAACAGCTTCGTTCTGGTGGTCGTAGAGTACCGCAGTCTTCGTCAGTTTCACAGTAACCAGAGCGTTCCATCCTTCTGTTAGCGGTAACTCGAGTCACCAGTTCCTCACTTATTTTGTAATCAGTTTCGTAAGATAGGTTGAACAATTATATGGGTGAGGAGGGTTGGATTTGAGGAGGACCTGTCTAGCAGTGGCCAATAGGCCTGCTGCGGTGCTCCTCTATTCTTAAGTTCTTATGTTCTTAGCAGGTTGTTCTAGTGTCAGTGTTCCTCGTTAAAGGTCGGCGCCCAGTCTCTCAATCTCGTCCAAGACGAAGTCCATATGGGCGTGGGTTGGCGTGGGCGTGCAAGTGGTGACCATACGGATGAAGTTGACTAGATTCTTGCAGGCAATAGGTTGGTATCCTACCATCATGGTGCCCTGTTGTACCATACGTGTCTTCAGCTCAGGAGCAACCTGCCCACCACACAACATAATTATGTTAGAATAAGAATCACAATATCTTGGCTGGAAAATTAAGAAATAACACAAATTGGAAATGGAAACCAAGTGAAGCTTCGCTCCATCTGTTTATTATTAAGTTAGAAAACAGAAGAACCATATACAAAAGATGAGGTAATCAGTCCCTCAGCCTTGGAGGTGGTATTTACAACACCGTGGTTGTAGAGATTCTGAAGCACAGGAAAGGAGACTGACGCCTATATAAGCGCCAGTCTCCTTTCCTGTGCTTCAGAATCTCTACAACCACGGTGTTGTAAACACCACCTCCAAGGCTGAGGGACTGATTACCTCATCTATTATTAAGTTGCTGACATTGTTAAGATCACAACATCTGACTGGTACAAGAATGAACGAGACTGATACAAGAATGAACAAGACTGCTCCAAGAATGAACAGGACTGATACAAGAATGAACAAGACTTCTACAATAATGAACAAGACTGGTACAAGAATGAACAACACTGCTACAAAAATGAACAACACTGCTACAAGAGTGAACAAGACAGCTACAAGAATCAAAAAGACTGCTGCAAGAATCAACAAGACTGCTACAAGAATCAACAAGACTGCTACAAGAAACAACAGGACTGCTAAGAGGATTAATTTACACAGGCGTTGTTTAAGTTGTCGTTCCTGCATGCGTAAATGTGTTCATTGAGGCGGGTGTCGAGGTTTCTTGCTGTTTCACCTACGTAGATCTTGTCACAGCCTCCACAGGGTATAGTGTAAACTCCTGCATTGACTGGTTCGTGGTGCTTGGGTTTTGTCCTGGTTAGATCCTTTATTGAAGTGGTAGAAGCGATGGCGACTCTGGTGTTAGCTTGTGAAAGTACTTTTGAGACGTTTAGTGCAACCTGGCTGTTGGGAAGAATCATAACTTTGTTGGGAGCGGTGTTGATGCGTGGAGAATTGTCCAATGACAAGCTACCTTTCTTCGACGTCCTCATTCACAAAGTAGACAACAACCTAAGATTTCAAGTTTATCGGAAACCCACCAATAAAAATGATCTTACACACTTCTATTCCAGTCAAGATACCAAGACCAAAAGAGGCATCATCATCGGGTTTTTCCTAAGAGCATACCGAATTTGTAGTCCTGAGTTTCTTGACGAGGAATGTACTTACATTCACCAAACATTCACTGAGTTACAATTTCCTTCTTTTTTCATCAAAGACTGCAAGAAAAGAGCTCTTCAGATCTTCAATTCTCCACGCATCAACACCGCTCCCAACAAAGTTATAATTCTTCCCAACAGCCAGGTTGCACTAAACGTCTCAAAAGTACTTTCACAAGCTAACACCAGAGTCGCCATCGCTTCTACCACTTCAATAAAGGATCTAACCAGGACAAAACCCAAGCACCACGAACCAGTCAATGCAGGAGTTTACACTATACCCTGTGGAGGCTGTGACAAGATCTACGTAGGTGAAACAGCAAGAAACCTCGACACCCGCCTCAATGAACACATTTACGCATGCAGGAACTACAACTTAAACAACGCCTGTGTACAACACCGAAATTCCACCAATCATCTCATGAAATTCAGAGACGCCCAATTAGTGATCAAAGAAACTAATTTCCGCAGACGCAAGTGCCTTGAATCAGCACTGATCGCTGTTTCGAATACAATTAAACAAAACAACGGCAGCTTCACCATCTCCGAAGTCTTAGCAAGAATCCTCCTGAAAACAGTAAACCCTGCCATCACATAGTCTCTCCTGTTATACTACACAAAGCACATTACAGAGAGTGAACACTGAAAAAAACCTGCCTCTTTCCAGTCTATATTTGTCCAACCTATTTTTGTTACCCAAGTAATAGCTTTTATATCCTTTTACTCATGTACGAATTAATTGCTCTTCCATATTGTATTATTTTTGTTACTACTACTACTACTACTACTACTACTACTACTACCACCACTAGTGAACATCGAAATGGTACCTCACTAGTACTGCACCTCACTCAGAGCCTTTATATACCCTCTGTGTCCATGTATTGTTTGTAATGGCTTGATAAAGCTCCTGGAGAGCGAAATGTTGCCACAATAAATGTCACATTAGTTGCACTTGTGTCCTTTTACTTTACATATTGTCGGTAATTCTACCAACTTTATTACAGGCTTAGAGTTGTTAGGAGGTGGAACAATGTGGTGTGGTGAAGTAGTGGAGGCTGAATCCATATAGCTTTACGAGAAAAGGAACGATAAAGTTCATGGACCTAGTAGCGACCAGTGAAGAGGCGATGTCAGGAGCTATGAATCGACACCTTCAACCACATCCAGATGAGTACATGTATGCACATATACATACATTTTTTTTAACAAGTCGGCCGTCTCCCACCGAGGCAGGGTGACCCAAAAAGAAAGAAAATCCCCAAAAAGAAAATACTTTCATCATTCAACACTTTCACCTCACTCACATAATCACTGTTTTTGCAGAGGTGCTCAGAACACAACAGTTTAGAAGTATTTACGTATAAAGATAAGCAACATATCCCTCCAAATTGCCAATATCCCAAACTCCTCCTTTAGAGTGCAGGCATTGTACTACTCATTTCCAGGACTCGAGTCCGGCTATATAAAAATAACCGGTTTCCCTGAATCCTTTCATTAAATATTACCCAGCTCACACTCCAACAGCTCGTCAGGTCCCAAATACCGTTCGTTTCCATTCACTCCTATCGAACACGCTCACGCACGCCTGCTGGAAGTCCAAGCCCCTCGCCCACAACGCCTCCTTTACCCCTTCCTTCCAACCTTTTCGAGGACGACCCCTACCCGCCTTCCTTCCCCTACAGATTTATAAGCTCTCCATGTCATTCTACTTTGATCCATTCTCTCTAAATAACCAAACCACCTCAACAAACCCTCTTCTGCCCTCTGACTAATACTTTTATTAACTCCACACCTTCTCCTAATTTCCACACTCCGAATTTTCTGCATAATATTCACACCACACATTGCCCTTAACAGGACATCTCCACTGCCTCCAACCGTCTCCTCGCTGCTGCATTTACCACCCAAGCTTCACACCCATATAAGAGTGTTGGTACCACTATACTTTCATACATTCCCTTCTTTGCCTCCATAGATAACGTTTTTTGACTCCACATATACCTCAACGCACCACTCACCTTTTTTTCCTCATCAATTTTATGATTAACCTCATCCTTCATAAATCCATCCGCCGACATGTCAACTCCCAAGTATCTGAAAACATTCACTTCTTCCATACTCCTCCTCCCCAATTTGATATCCAATTTTTCTTTATCTAAATCATTTGATACCCTTATCACCTTACTCCTTTCTATGTTCACTTTCAACTTTCTACCTTTACACACACTCCTAAACTCGTATATAAAGACATACATACCTACAGAGACATGCATCTCTTAGTGTAGATAACATTTAATAATATAATTATTCAACTAACATTAGTTATCATTGGAAAATACATGAAGGTCGAGATGAGGCAGGCGAGAGTGTTACTGCACCTGGGGATAGATCAAAGTTGAGCAACTCTATCACCAATTCCTCTATAAGCTGAGTAGACAGTATCATCTCTAAGAATAATACCCAGGTGAGAGTCTGGTATAACATGAACTTACTCTAGCCTAACTTAACCATCTGAAGCATTTGTTACTCTGGGTCATTCTAGACATCTATGACATGCAAACAACTAGTTGTTTTGAAAAAACTGATATCATTTTTGTTTTTGGAATGAAAAATATATTAGGAAAGTAAACCCAGAGAAGATTCTCCGTGTGTGCTTCAGTGTTGCGCAGGAAACTCGAAGTTAACTTCAAATACTGAGCTAAAGTAAGCTGTCCTATTGCTGTTCTTGTTTTATTTTCTTCCTCATACTTTAGCTTACACCTGGCTACACTTTACCTTACATCTGGCTACACTTTACCTTACATCTGGCTACACTTTACCTTACATCTGGCTACACTTTACCTTACATCTGGCTACACTTTACCTTACATCTGGCTACACTTTACTTACATCTGGCTACACTTTACCTTACATCTGGCTACACTTTACCTTACATCTGGCTACACTTTACCTTACACCTGGCTACACTTTACCTACACCCTGGCTACACTTTACCTTACACCTGGCTACACTTTTACCTTACACCTGGCTACACTTTACCTTACACCTGGCTACACTTTACCTTACACCTGGCTACACTTTACCTTACACCTGGCTACACTTTACCTTACATCTGGCTACACTTTACCTTACATCTGGCTACACTTTACCTTACACCTGGCTACACTTTACCTTACATCTGGCTACACTTTACCTTACATCTGGCTACACTTTACCTTACACCTGGCTACACTTTACCTTACATCTGACTACACTTTACCTTACATCTGTCTACACTTTACCTTACACCTAGCTACACTTTACATCTGGCTACACTTTACCTTACATCTGGCTACACTTTACCTTACATCTGGCTACACTTTACCTTACACCTGGCTACACTTTACATCTGACTACACTTTACCTTACATCTGGCTACACTTTAACATCTGGCTGCACTTTATCTTACATCTGGCTACACTTTACCTTACACCTGGCTACACTTTACATCTGGCTACACTTTACCTTACATCTGGCAACACTTTAACATCTGGCTGCACTTTATCTTACATCTGGCTACACTTTATCTAACATCTGGCTGCACTTTATCTTACATCTGGCTAAACTTTACCTTACATCTGGCAACACTATCTTACATCTGGCTGCACTTTATCTTACATCTGTCTACACTTTACCTTACATCTGGCTACACTTTACCTTACATCTGGCTACACTTTACCTTACATCTGACTACACTTTACCTTACATCTGGCTACACTTTACCTTACATCTGGCTACACTTTACCTTACATCTGTCTACACTTTACCTTACATCTGTCTACACTTTACCTTACACCT